ACTTAATTGAGCAACTTATATCATGGAAGTCTTGAGTTGTTGCAAGTATTAATGTTCATCATTTTGAAGGCCTCCTAATAACGATACTTACGTTGTTTTACTTCCATTCGTCACTTTTACGTTATTCAAATATAGTAAGTAATACGATAGAGTAGATTCACTCTTAAAACAATTTTGTAAAAAACATTTCATTAGAATAGACCAAGTTCAAGTAATACTGCTGCAATACGGGTCTAAAATTTATATGATCTTTGCTGCTAACAGAAGATTGACCTAACGGCTAAAATTTTTCAGTATTTTAGGATGGAAATTCTGACTTGTATTTCTGCTTTACAATCGACCTCTGCAAAGTTTTCAAGCAAAAACGTGAAGTAACTCCAAGTGAAGCGAAACACTAAGAAAGGGCTAATTTAAATGCATTGCTGACGATGGGTTGGTAGCAGTGATTAATAAAACGACTAGAAAAATTCAGCTCCGTTTCAGTTTCTTTAAACTGTAGAGCAACAGTACTATTAGACTTATGAAAAAGAAGTAATGTCCATCGGATTCAACCAAGTATTATTATTATAATCTACTTGCCATTCGATGATTGCACATCAAATAATTGGTCATCTGTTCATTGTTTCCATCGTCACCACTATTGCTAATGCTGTAAGCCTCATGTGAAGTTTAAAGTCATTTGAAGAAAAGTGCTACACAAAAAATCAATAAATTTTTCTTTCTAAAAATACCTAAAATAATCTATTATTATTTTTTTTCATTAATGGGTTAATTGTTACGTTTCTTTACATTTTTCGTTCTGCCCCCCTCTCTGACTTTTGACGCTGTCGCTGCGACTGTTGGTAGCTGACTTACCGGTGGATAATGAATACGACTGCCATTACTGCAAAGAAGAAATGTTCAGCAGCGATGAGCTTGCGAAAACGCAGAATACTGTGATGTATACGTCTCTTCTGTTTGAGTAAAAAAAAATTCAAGGTGGTAAAAAATGTTCAGCGGTTTCTATAAGAATCATCATCTCTAAAGCGTAGGTGTTATTTTTTGGGGGGGAACACGCCTACGAATTGCAAGCGATTTTTTGCTGCATCCATCATCATCAGTTGGAATCGCCACTTCAATCGAGAGGGAGAGAGGAAGTAAGGTTTATCGACGACGATTGCTAGCCACTGACGTTTGAAAGGGCTCACTGTTAATCTGTGTTGCCGTCGGGTCTGTTTCAGCTAAACTTTTACGTCTAAATTAAATTCTGAAAGTTGTTGGCTTTGTTTTTACGAAGCAACAAAAAAAGCTGCAAGAGAAGTGAATTTAGAGCTGAAAACACTGAATTTATGTGTATTCAATTGTTAACAGTAGCAGCAATACGCAATCTAAAAGAACAAGCGAATTGATTAAAAATTGAAAGTAGAGGAGAACAATTTTTATACGGGTGGGCGAAAAAGAAGAAGAAGTATGCGAGAAAAAGAAGAAACTGCAAAACGGTTAAGAATTTTACAACAGCAATAAAAACAGTGCGGCAAACTGATGTAGCAAACAAAAATAATAACAGATACATTATGCTAAAGCTGTCAGCAGATCAGTATGTATGTGGGTTTGTATAGCGAAACCCAAACGGCTAAAGGAATCCAGTGAGGTCAGAAAATAGAATGTTTGAGATACGTTTTTTGTAAATTCTTTTGTGGACGGATTGCTGAACATACATACGTAGAAACGGTGATTTTGGCACCAGTATAGAGAGGATTAGATTGTTCAACAAAATGACGATAGATTAAAGATTTCTCCCTTTTTTTTTGAAAAATAATTTTTAGAAATACTAAAACTAAAAAAAAGATGATGAAAATAAAGAAAAAAAAATAAAGCAGATTTAGAAGTTTTGCAGCTGCTTCGTTACAACTGTCTGTGTGTATGTGTAATTCATTGTTCCTGTGTATATCTGTGTGTCTGTGCGAGCGTTTGCATATCTCACTGCTCTTAGCATATATCCCGAGGGTTTTTGACTTTGGTTGAAGCTGAGGATGACGATTGTTGTTGCCTCACTTTTCACTGCACGTCTTCCCAACCAACCACATTTACTTGCCTACAAAAGATGCTAACGTTTCTGCCTTTCATCAGTTTTCGGACCATATTTCTATCTGTTCAGACCCTGAGTTTTAGTAAATGTTTAGGAGGCATTAACTTTACTTAAAACAATTCAAGAAATTTAGGTAACATGATTTCTGATAGGCGGGTGGTGGAGAGAATGGAAATTGACGAGGGTTGACTACATTGATAGCTTAAAGTTTAGGCATCTCATGCAACATCGAACAACTGGGAAACTGGGAGGAGTAGGCGATTGCTCAAGTACTGCTCGTTGAAACCAAAAACTTTTTAAATCGTTTTCGTGATTTATCGTTGTCGGTGGACAGTAAATGTCGCTAATTATTGTTATGTATCAACATGATACTTTTTCTATTACTATCTTGGCTTTCTTGAATAAAGTTTTTTACTTTTTATTCAAGTGTAACAATAAAGCTACTTTTCTGCCTTTGCTGTCATAACTTTTTTACACATTTTTCTTGCTCGCTTAAACTCTTAATTGAGAGTGTTAATTTAAAAGAGTTTAATTTGTTACCAATGTCTGCAGTTTATTTATCCGTTTCTTTTTTGATTAATTTTTTCTTTTGTGGCAGTATGAAATAAAAAACCCTTTCCGAATCAACGGTTTTGTAAGTATTTTGAAGAAAAAAATGGACGTCTGCTTTGATTCTTCAAAAGCAATTTGTGCTTTTTTTTTGTTCTCTACATAGACAGTCTTTTTTGCAGCGGTAAGCTGCAATGTAAGAGCCGATTCTGTTTATCGTGCCAGTTTATTTTTTTTCAGATTAGACTTAATTTTCGCCATTATTCAACATATTTTTTTGTTTTAGAAACTAACAGTACTTTTGAACAAAAATGTTACGCTTTATCAAGCATACTTTTTCTTAAAAACAAAAACATGCGTATTTTTGTTCTAACAGTTACATTAACTGAGATATAAGTGCATTTTTTTGATAATTATTATTTATTTTGAATCGTGTTTACGTATAATTTTTTTACTCGTTGATTACCTGAACAAATTTGCTATTGTATTTTAGCGTAACCTTCA